ATCACCGAGTTATTATTCTCCATGTCATGTGCTCTCCTAATTGGAGCAATTATTTCCATTAATTGGGATCACAAATATTTTTAATATTTCCCAAAAAAATAAAAATGAAAAGGAGAAAACATAAAGATGGTTTGAATCATGCAAATGCTTCTTGTAAATGTAGATGGTTTAAAAATAATAAGTAAATAAATAAGAATACATGTCACTACTTTAAATTTTCATCATTTCAATTGAAATGTTGGCCCCTTCATTTTGGTCCTCGTTTCGTCCATAACATATAATACAGTGTTGATTAATATCCCACTATCTGCAAAAAGAATCCCTCATTTTGGACCCATAATGCCTATTCACATTATTGATTTTAATCCTACCCTAAAAAGGGAATTTATCTAATTGGTGCCCGATATTTGGACTAGCATTATTATTTGGTATGGCATATGAAATATCACCCGCGATTATTTATAAATGGTACGTATCAATTGGTTATTTATCATTCAATATTTTTTGGTGCATTTTAAATTAAATACACTTAAAATAGATGTCATCATTATATCAATTTATGGATGATGAAACAATCCTCTGATTCATTAGAATCTTTGTCTAATGCACATATTTATGCAAGGAATTTAAATAAGATTCTTACATTCTTTCTCAAAAATGGCATGGCACTATTGACTCCTCTCTAGAGAATTTCACACTACCATCAAGTAACTGTTAAATGAAACGAATCACTCGTGAGCTTGATTTAATAAAGGTTCGGGTAGCAGGAGCCCGCATTTACACCTCTTACGGTTAAGATTGTGAAATTGTTTAAATAAGTTGAGCATGTTGAATATTTTTATTTAACTTTATGATTAATTCACGATCATGTTAGGTATATATAGATTAGTTATATATATATATATATATATATATACTTTGTTTCTATCATAAAAAATGAAATAAAATAAAATAAAGAAAGGCTTCACTATACAAAATCTAGTAGGCATCTTCCTTGGTAGCAACATTATAGCACGTCAATTGAGCCCATTTAATTAATTTCTTGATTTTTTTTTTCTTTTTCAGAATAGTTTATTACACAAGCCCTGCAAAATCAGAACATCACAACTGATCAAGATATATATCCTAATCTTCCAATGCATGCAAGAGTTTATGTATAAATTAATTTAAACAAATTAATTGTACAGCAAAATCCATTTTCAGCTTCTCAAGTAAAGTAAGCAACTTTAGCATGCAGTTATTCTGACAACCTAAAAAATATTATTAGAACAAAAGTAGGATGCACAAACTCTTTATAATGGCTTTTATAATCTCAAAGAACATGATTAAAATTTAGTGAATGAATTTGAATCCCAAGAAAGAATATAGATTTTGGCATGTTACTAAAGCTAAACAAAATCTTTATAATTGGCACATTTTTAGGAGTGCTGCACTTGGGGATTGACAAATATTCCAGCAAATTCCTAAGATGATCACCATGATTGATTTTATATCATCATTTTGCCTTTTTATGCGTTGTAATTTTTGAAATTTTGCATGAAAATCATCACTGACAAGAGTAATTTTTCCTAAGAACTTGAAATTTTTTTGAGAGCTTGCACTGGTTGTTACAGTTTTTGTTTTGTTTTGTTTGTTTTTAATTGAATTTTTTGAGAGTTCATATGTTATTTCAAAAGGTGTAGCTTGAACTAATGTAATTACAAACCTATCGTACATGATTATACGAACATTCTGAAATTTATATCTACGTACAACTCTCATATTTTTAATTTGTTTTATTAAATCTTGATTCTCTTAACAATTATTAGGACAGAGATACTTGAATGTGTGATTTAGAAAGATTTAATGGAGAATATTTAACAAATACATAAATTGTTAATTAATTCTTCTATTTTTCTCTAAAACGACAACTACATTGAGTGAGCTGATGAGGTGATCTCGGGCTGAGATAATCATGAAGATAGAAAGCTATGACGTCTAAGTACGGGATAATATAAAAAATATTTTCTATCTAATTTCTAAGGTAGAGAATTATATCTTAACAAGATAATTCAATCAATTATATCTCTTCTTAGATTCAGGGGCGGATCCAGAAAATTTAATTGGGGATTATATAATTTTCAATGACATGCTTCATTAAAAAGACAAAGTTGCATTTTTAGAATTGAAAAAAAAAAAAAGTAGTTCAAGAAAATATATAACGTTCAAATATTGTAACTACTAGAATTGTGCTCGACGTTTTCTCAAGTCACGAAACCCATCGATGATTGAATCGATAGTAGTAAATCTTGCAATTTTCCTTTCAACAAAGATAGTCAAAGAATTACAAGAAAATCACTTTCCATTTTACGTCGAAGTTTAGATTTAACGATAGCCATAGCCGAAAATGCACGCTCTGTGCTAATAGATTATTTAGTGATAGTTACTACATATAAGAATGATGAATAAATACACATATGTTTAAAACCTTAAATCCCAAAAAAAGATAAATAAATAAAATTATGAACATGAGCATAAATTAACGTACTCATAAATATAAAAGAATGATCAAGTTATTCGGAAGAATCAAGGAATTGGACCGACGATCATTATTGTTGCTGCAAAATTGTTCTATTTTTTTACCTTGCAAGTCTACCTCCGTTGTGTTGTACGTCTCGGTGCCGTCGTTTTGTGTGTTTCTGTCTCTATCTCTGGACTTTGAATTGAGTTTATTTCTTTATGTTAATTAGAGTAATTTTATTAATAAAAATAATAAAATAAAAAGATGAAAGTTAAATAGGCATTTTATGACTTATCTTTTATATATTTCTCTAATGGGCAATGACATGTCCTAGTCCACATAATTCAATCAATATATCTTTAATTAATTGGTTAATGGTGATAATGATAATTAACTATACTTAATTTAATATATTACATATATATACTTAAGTAAAAAAATCAAAAGTTTGGGAGGGACCATGGCCCCCTAGCTTATATGTAGGTCTACCACTGCTTAGATCTATGGGATTCATTTCCTTCTTCAAACGAGTATTTTACTTGGACAACACAAAGGCGTTAGACCTATAAACATAGGTCCCGAGTTTTCTTTAAATCTCTTGCATATTCTTAATATAAAATTTATGAATTTATTTCTTGGCACTCTTTTTAACTTGTGCGTTGGACTGTTTATGTTGCGAACATCTCTCGACTCTATGTAGGTGATGGAAGGGTAGATTTTGTATAAAAAATTGGTCTTGTACCAATTTTACAGTTATGTTTTTCGTAATGAAAGACTTAGAATAAAATTTTAAAATCATTGTAGGTTTAAAAGAGAAATTAATTCTGACGTTGAAGTATGGGGAATTTGAGTTTTAAGTAACTCAAAAATATTTGGATTGGCAAAAGTTCTGTCTTTGACGAATGTTTGTACAAGCCGAACGAGCCATAACTATTTAGTATACATGCTAGAACTCTCGTTGAGGACAAGTAAAAAAAAAAAATAACACGATTTATAGTTGTAACGAGCGCCAACGAGCTCTTGGCGCACAAGTAGGGCTGCAAACGAGCTGAGTCGAGTCGAGGATTGGCCTTATCGAGCAGGATTGATTTTTTGTTTTAGCTGCTCGAGCTCGTCGAGCTCGATTTATGAGGCACAAACTCGACGCGATAAAAAAATTACAATAGCTCGACCTTGGCTCGAGCTCGACTCGAAATCAAAATACTCGAGCTCGGCTCAAGTTCGGCTCGAAAATTTTTAAGTGAAAAAGTAAAATTACCATTAAACACCTATGCTAATATATATAAGAGGTATTTTAGTAACTTCACATACATCTCGAGCCACTCGACATTGCAAAATATGGGCTCGAGTCGCTCGAGCTCGACTCGAGTTCTGTCAAACTCGAGCTTGAGTCGAGCTTTGACTCAAGCGTTCGCAAGCGGCTCGCAAGCCGCTCGGTTCATTTGCAGCCCTACGCGCAGGCGCCCGCCAAGCTCCATCCCAGGCATGTAACCCGAATCAGGCCACCAGTTGGGACGGATCATCACGGGTGTCGAGCACTCAATCCGAACATACCTGCACATGCCAAAAAAGTTCTAATTTTGAACAATCGGGTACGTCCCTGAAGGTGTCTTTTGACGCACAAATCCTTTCAAGATATCCAAGAACATCTATGATTACCCATATGATATGAAATGCATATAACACTAGAGAACTTATCATAAAGATAAGAAATTGAAATAGAACATAAAATAGTCATGTTTATCTTGTGTCCATTATTATTTTTTATTTTCTTGATAGTTCTAAATACATGTAAGTTTGTCGAAATTTTGTACGTTTGAAGTGTCACTATACCCAAGACCAAGCCGTATCTTGGAGACATCTGTGAAAAATTTTGGACATTAATTGGTGGCAATTTCATCTTACAGCGAATGTACTGCCCGTGACTCGACTTTGATTATTTATTTAAATACTTTGTTTGAAGATCGTGTTCATGATTCGTGTTTCGTGGTTTGATCGAGTCATTCGTTATCATTCTCCGTTCGTAATTTTCTTTGTCATTCTCTGGAAAATAAGTATCTACACACCCAACATACTTAAAATCCCGTAAAAAACTCAGTCAAAAGATGTAAAGCACATCATATACCATTTTAAATATACAAATGTATAAGATATTTATATCAATTTAACGAAAGTTGAGGGTTCATGTGATAAAGCAAGGATCACCATTTGCTTTTTTATTTATTTATCTATTTTTCCCTTCCACTTTCTTTCTAAGGAGAAAAGAAAAAATGTTGATGCAGGAATTGTTACTTGTATAATTTTAGTTACCTTTTGTTTTGTCCTTTGGAGGAATTTTTCGAAGTTCGGTTGAAGGCATATATTGATAGTATTGATTGACCCAAAAAGAGCTTTTACAGGCTGGGGTCTTTCGACATTCAACAGACTCAGAAATATAGACAAACTTTTCAGTCTAGACCCAAACTTGAAGAAAGCTAAAAAAAAAAAAAAAGTTCACAAATTTCGACATATTAAATTCAGTGCCATAGCTACCCAAGAAAAAGTTGCTGATTTTGCAGGCTTCATCAGCAAACCTCAGACGTCACTTTTATTCAAATTTCTTTGGATTATTTTCATGTCAGTTCCAAAATTAGGAGTGAGCCATATTTTCTGAGGAAGAGACTTACACTAAATTGTCCACCTCATTTGAGCTAGAAAGATTAAGAACATAAATTCATATAGGTAAATAAAACTACTCGAAACCTAAATTCATGCCCAGCGCAATTGAAAACTCATTTGAACTCAACACGAGTTGAAAATCACACATGGTATACACTAATATAAATCTTGAAAAATTTTCAAAAAATCACAAATTGCTCAACTCGACTCATTCACACAGTCAATTCGTCAGTGTAGCCAAATTTTGTGGCACAAAGCATAAAAGCAACTCAACTATCCAAAATTTCAAAACTTTTTGTGGAAAAAGTGACAAGAAAAAACAGAGAAACTCATATCAACCCAAACATAACAGCAGTCCACATTAATAACGGGAGATTTATATAAATTCAACTTATTATCCTTGAAATCTAACACCTTGCAACAAATTCTACCCAACTAATTGTAAAAGAACAATCTGGAAAAAACAATAATATACAATGGCTATCCTATCAATCAACTACTCCTATAACAATCTAAAATAGGCTGAGAGAAATTAATCCCCGACTTCAGAGGATCGTCACTTGTATAAAGAGTGTGCCGAGTGACTCTCGCCAGAAAACACAAAGGCACACAACACAAATCACTAAAATTGTTGATTTTTTTTATGTCGATTCGTTTTGAAATGTCTAATCAGACTTTATAATCGCTCTAAATATCAAGAAAACAGATTATAAGGCCCAGCTTGATTGAAACTTATTCAATTTACCTACGACGTGCTGAATTATGTTGATGGGCTTTGCTTTCGTTCTGTATCCTATCCGCATACATCGGCAAGCGTATGATCTCGTTGATCTCGTTCAGCAACACATCCTCCGTGATATTGTCCTTTATACTTCTCATAACCTGTTAATTTTCCACACAACAATATTCGGTATTATAGCTTCCTTTGAAGTAGAGTAAGAAATAGTTACAAAATACTAGTTCAGTTTCTTCAAAATATTGGTTCGAAAATTGGATTTTTGTCATTTTTAAAGACCGATCAAGTTTTTCATTTTTTTTCATAATTACAATAAATGTCTGAGGTGATTTATTGTATTTATCCCTTAAAAAGTAATCAGGGCAAGGATATAGTATAACAACCAAAGAGATTACCTTCTTGTACGTGTTGAATTCATTAGGAGTCCCTTTGTCTATCCTCACCCTCATACACACCCATACACCTTCCTCAGAATTCCATGAACACTCAATAATCTTCCCCGAATAAGATGACGGATCATTCCCGTCTGAAAGCTCCAAAACATGAATAAATTATGCAAACAGTTCGGATAGAAAAGAAAAGAAAAAAAAAAAAACCAAATGCATCAACGGGATGTTGTGATAAGAAACATGCCAAATGTACACAATTAAGTGGGCCAGAAAAATAAAGGTCTAAAATTGAGGGGTTTTAGAATAAATATAAAACTTCCCTTGACGAGCAACTAGAGCACAAAAGAACCCAGTAATTGTTAAAAATTACAGGTTTTGTTACATAAATACAAACATCAAGGGTATTTGTTAACACTTTTGGGGGCGCGTTTGAAATAATGAGTGATGAATGAAGGAACACACAAGCACACACACACGATGCTAAACAATTTCTGCCAACTAGTGTTCATTATTATTGGCTTTAGTCTGCAAGCTTGGAAAGTATTAAACTAACCAGGAAACACAACCCTCGCATCCATCAATTTCTTCTTCCCTCGTTCAAACAGAGAAAGTAATTGATGATCGTCAACCACCTGTTTTGCAAAAAAGAAGCAAGTACAGAAAATAAGACAGACATAGAATACAAAGCAAAAACTGGAAGCAGGTAAATTATATTGAAGAAATACGAATAGAAATGCAAAAACCTCAAAGAGATGAAACGAATAGAAATGCAAAACCTCAAAGAGAAAGTCCACTGAATTCATTTCTGGGTATTTCCATTTCAAAAGGCCTTCGTGTGTCCTTGGAACATAAGCATCATCCCAACCCTACACGACAGACGATTAAAAAGTATTGTTAGATTATCCCCACAAGTGGATCTCAAACCTATAAACATAGGTATGCAAAACAACAAATTTCTCTGCACGTGGTGTTAATACCCACTTTTATCATGAGACCCTCTCTCAAACAGGTCACGGTAACCCAATTTGCGAGGGTCTCAAATTTTGGAGACCAGGAAAAGTTTGAGTTGCTAGAGATGGTCTCAAGGTAAATGAGCCAAAAAAAAATATATATATTTGGAACACATTCTTCCAGGTATGTGACACAGTGCCCATGAAAAATTTTCTAGATAAAAATTATTACATAACTGAAACAAGGCTAGTCAAACCAAAATATATGCAACTGTAAGTTTTAACATATTTCTGATGGTAAAAGCTAGTCATGAAAGGGAAAGAACCAGAGAAAATAAGAGATTGCCATGCAAAACTGAGTGAGAAGAGGAAACAAGTCTTAAAATCCAAGCGTATGCACCTGAAAAACAAGACCATCTGCTGCATGTGAAAGCTTTGGAATAAATCCTTTCAACAGTTTTGTAACAGTAGAAAGCAGCCAAAAGTCTTTCCTCCGTACCTGCCAAATGTCAATTAAATGATTATCATAAGCCCAGCAGAAGAAGATACAATGACAAGTAACATATTGAGGTTAAACGATTTACAAACCCTGAATGGTTCCAAATCATATCTGTAATAAGGGTTTTGGCTCTGATACATATGGTGTCTCTCAAGGTTCCGAGGTTCAATAACTTCTTTCTCGAGCATTTTCCAACGCTCGTAAAATGGTAACTGCATGCATTAAGATTTATGTTGAAGTCATCCGGAACCACCATAATAAACAACCAAATATATAAATAGATAAAATCAACCACGTGCTCTCGTGACAAAGAAGAATCTGAGAGACGTGTAAGTTTGCCAACACGTTAAACGAATTTTATAAATTCGATATCCTTTCACGAGCAGCATTTCTTAATCAATGGTCTTCACGAACAAATAAAATATATTCATCCACGTGAAGTTCTCACCGAGAATAAAAAGGAATAGACAAATTAAGATTCACACATATTCTCCGTGAGAGAATAAAATGCAGAAACAAAACAAAAAACTTGAAAACAAAGCAGATATACGCATCAATGCAATCTGTGCTGTAATAAGTCCAGCAAACCAGCGTACTATCCAAACAGAGCACTCATAGCAGTATCCAAGCGAAGCCATTGGCACACATGTATACCATATTTCTCTAGTGCAGATTAACAATATCCAGCATATAACTCGCATAATATTTCTTGGATTATTGATCACTTGAACAGTTAACCAAAATAAACAAAAATAAGCAATAATTATGATTACATAAACAATAGATAATAACAAAAGATTGAAATGAAACATCTAATATAGAACCAGTAGCAGCAAACAGGCCAAAGTATCTGCAAATCAATGTACTGCCAGAAAATACAGCATCCCTACTTCTGATATTGTACCAGAAGCTTGTTTGGTCACTTGGACATAACACAGGTGATCTGTTACCATTGTTAATCCAATTGATCTAATTACGGCCACTATATTGTCCGTTCATTTTATCCAAAGAATATCAAAAGGATTTAGTATTGTTTCATTTTGGTCCATTTATCATTAAGTTCGGTTAACATTAAGGGACATCTAATCACCAAAAGAACTCAGCTATTGTTCACCAAAACTGAAAGGGAAAGGACAAAAATAAAGCCTGGTGTGTCAACAATATTAAAATTAATCATCTATTATAAATCTGGGGGAAAAAAAAGTTGACTCAAAGAGTAGTGTACTTTGTCAAATTTGTTTCCCTTGACGCAGTCGAGCTTCCCCTACGTACAGCACATAATGATTTTAAGGCAACAAAACATCAGATTTATATGACGGGGGAATTTTAGGTCTTTGAAATAAAAGCTTATAGGCTGATGAAAAATATAGATAGTGGACCAAGTGGAGGTGGCATGATGCCTGATGGCTTACCCAGATTTGAGGTCAACAAGTATCTGGCCTGGGCATGTTCCAGGGCTTCTAATAGGTTACTACTAGGCATTATTATGTTTGATGTGTAAACAATGGCCTTATCATACACACTAACCCCTACCAAACGGGTCCAAGGATTACAAGATTCTAAATTAAAATTAACTATGGCAACGCCAATAGAGAACCATGGAGAAAGAACTGATCAACTGAAAAGTAATGTTTCCATATATTACCTCAACGATGGAAACATTATTAATGGCCATCATATCATAGATCAAGTATCTTCTTTCTTGCTTCTGTGAATCAGGAACTGTGTCAATTATCATCTCCCCATCAAGCAAAGTAAAATGATGATACATCTTCTCTGTCATTCCCTTCTGCACAAACTTATAGATTTAAAAATCATGGTGATGAACATCAATCTTTAATGCTATTGAAAACACAAAGAAATCCCAGCCAATCCAAACATGGAACAGAATCACATACTTCATTAGCATGCCTGCAAGGAAATCGCATTTGGACTCTCCGGAAAGTAAAATGCCTATCTATCAAGTAACAACCATCCATGGTGATAAGCATCATGTATCTAGTTCCATCAGCTTTCCATGTCGCGTAGTAGTAACGTTGCCTCAATAATTGTAAGTTGTCCCTGGATGGATTATTAAGAAGTAATTATTAAATGCCAATGTATGGGGAAAAGAAAAGGACAATAGATGCTATTCACCACTTGAACGATGTGATAAAGAAATCAAAGAGGATTAATGAAGATCATTGTGGACAAAGTTAAGAAACTCAAGTGGGGCATTAAGTCCCAAAATACATCTTGAATCCGCAGCGTTGTATTTCGGAGACAAAACAGAAGGCATGAGTTGAGTATAAAATTATAACTATTTAGCTTCCTTTCAGCTCTTCCAAGCAGCTCTATAGGAATTCGACAAGTCCTCTATCTTTATGAATTGGCTTCCACCCTCTATTCCTTCAATCATTCTATATCTAGTTTCTACAATGAAGGGGATGCAATATATACATTGACGAGTACCTACTAGGCATGGCAAACAATAATATATGGGTGACCTGACATCATTCCCCTATTGATGTCCTTGGTATGAGATTCATTGTTATCTAAACTTGGCACATTCCATATATATAGAATCACAACATACACAACAATAAAATCAATAATCAATCGACATTGATGTATCAATAACAACAAAAGCCATTCGCATAAACCGAGAAAAGTTGATGGAGACCTGTTAAGAGAAACTGGATGTGAGCCAGGAAAATTCTGAGGTCCTCTCGCCTGACAATTAATAGAACATACTTATCAGAGATGGCAAAACTAAAAGAAGTGTGCCCCAATCCTTGTTTATAAAAGTTTCAACCTTATTACAGTCTCGTTTGAACTAATGTTATGTTGCTTACTTTTCCTTTTTTTATGCTTATTCACCAAACCAAAATGAAAAGTTACTAATATATTTAATTTATAGAAATCAATGAAAGGTATGTTTTGGGGGTCGATAAATGACTTCGTTTACTAATTCTCAGTTGGCCAAAACCCCAAAGCACTGCCTTCGATCAAAATCTGTACTCCTTGAGAACCTACCCCTGGAGGCACAGACAACTTCATCATTTTGTAACAAAAATGCCGCAGTGCTAGTTCTTGGTCAAAAGGTATCTTATCCCCCAAAATATCATCATTTGTCATGACCGGCTGTGTCTCCTTAGTCTCCTGAAATGGTCAAAGTTCAATTGTTGACAGGGATGACATCAGAGAAAATTTCAACTAGATCGGCCACATGCAGGATATGCACACCCTAGTACAGGAAATAAATTTATTTTACAGAAAAATAAAAATCAAGTAGAATATACATGTACAGGAGCCGCAGAATCTCCATCTTCGTCATCATCATCTGGCATTGCAACACCATTCAAATCTAGATCCGAAGATCTTTTCCACTCTGGAGTTGGGGGGCAAACAACCATATCCGGCTTCTTCTCGTGATAGAAATCGTACAAGGAATCAATATAGTCTGGTTTGTAAATCCCCGGTGGACGTGCATCAGCAAATATCTTGATTGCCTGCAAAAGAAGCACAAGAAAAGAGACATGTCAAAATCCATTTCAAACAAATGAAGAAAAAGTTCAGAAGGATAGCCAACTAACCTGAGAGACAGATATGGGCACCGTACGCATGAGATAGTGGACAATCATATATCCAGTACGGTTATGCCCATGCGTGCAGTGAACAAGAATATACTTCTTTTGTTGCTTGTTCTGCTGACTTAGAAACTGGAAGACCTGATAAAATACTTTTATTGTTAGGTTCTATAAACACCATTAAGAGTTGTGTGTTGTGCATCTATGAAGATATATACCTCATAGAAAAATTTATTTACAGCCTCATTCTCTGGCACTGAATCACGCCCCTTGCATGCAATCTGAATTACAAGACCGCAGGCAGTCAGGAGATGAATAATCATATTGAAAGAGGTAAAGACAGTAAATATATACCAATGAGCTTGAGAGCAAATATAGCGCACCTTTACATGCTTCATACCACCATTCTTAAAGTCATTCACATTATAGTATCGACTTGAATTGGTAAGATCAATCACCAAACCAAGCTGAAAGATTCAGTAGAAAACTCGAATCACACAATAGGCACTAGAAAAGTCTCCCAAAATAACACACAGAGGCATCATTACAAATTGAGCAAATCATAATCAAGATTCACACTTAAATGCTACGAAGGTCATAATAACTAAATTTTAAATCACCAAAAGATGACATTATCAAGTTCCAGATTAATCATATGACGACAATAAGATGATGATGATAATAATAATAATAATAATAATAATAATAATAATAATAATAATAATAATAATAATAATAATAATATGGTTAAGTTTTATGAAGACCCACCTTCCTTCCTAAAACTCTTTGTTGATGTATCACCTGCCTGAATGAGTATCTTTTACCAGGAGGAATATCATCATTATATGCTTCACCTAAAGGAACTTTTGAGGGTACCAAACAACCTATTTCTTGTCCAAATGCAGGGCAGTCTAACCAACCTGCCACATGAGAAATACAATTGCAAGATGACAAAGCTAATCATAACAATAACAGCAGTTACGACAACCATTTTTCCCACGGGATGATAACATATCAACAAATAGAACCTAGAAAACACTAATCCCCCAACAAATAACAGCCCAATATCATCTGAAAAGTGAAAAAAACCAATGCCTATACAAAATCAACAGGGGGACCCAAACTAAGTTGATCTTTCAAACTCTTTCGAATTTTCTTTTCCTGTATCCTCTTACAGATTATTAGGAAACTTAACAAGCCTTCTGCTATTAACAACTTATATGAGCACACAAAAGTATCCAGATTTGGGCATCTTCACAGCAGACGGTATTAAGAGTTTAAATGGCCAGTTCAAGTTGAATGAACAAACAACTGATTCTTTTCTGCTTAAGAGCATAAAAAAGAATAAGTCTAATATAGGAATCTACACTCTCAGTACAATGCCATCAATGGTCTCTGAAATATAATTGTAATTTACCTGGTGGAAGTCTACTACTAGGTCTCTGCCGCTTTACTTGATACCCAGCATCTCGCTGACTGGACTGATATCCATAGGCTGGTTTCTCATCAGGACGTTGTCTTCGTATCCGTTGCATCCTTTCTTCACGTTCCTGATTCAAAGAAACGCATGTGAAGTTGCCAATTGTAACAATGATCGGTACAGTAAGCACAGAACAGTAGCCAAGTAAACTAGTAGAGAGAGTACACCATTTGTTACCAGTACTACAAAAGTGAAAGGCCAATAGAAGGAGATGGATGATCCACTTGGGATGCAAAACAATTCAGATTTTAGTGTGGTATCAGAAACAACTGCTCAATTCAAAGGCACCCAACAATTGGAAACCTTGATGGTCTCGCTTGACTTTCAAAAGACAATTGCGCAGCACAAAAACATGAGAATGCACAGCTGCTTAACATTGGCACAGTGCAAAGCAAACTGCACCATACTGAAACGGATTCGTATGATTTGAAGATGCAACCCAATAGCCAGGTAAAAGAATTTTAACCTCGAAAAAACCATATTTCAATAGCCTAAATTACATGCTGCCAGAAAGTATCAAGTACAACAGTTGTCATCAAATAGCAGAGATTTGCACCAAAAAGCTACATAGAAAATGCTCACTGATATTTACTTCAACAAAATCGTAGTAAACTTTATACAAAATGAACCAACAACATTAATTAACACTGTCGGCCAAATATTAGACACAAACAGAAACAGATTGTTACCCTGCGTGAAATCTGAACTGCACTCTCACCACGTTCCACATGTTCATTGTAGTCAGCAAATTCACCTGGTACATTTTCTTCTTCTAAATGTGGCGCAGGAAACACATCATCCTCTTCCGGTTCAGGGGATGCATTCAAATCCATGCTGGCAATCATTCAAGTCAATCAGAAACATCCTAGAACAGAATATGTAGCTCATTGTGAAATGAGGTCCCAACTTGCAAATGCCCCTCAACCAGAGCAGAACAACACAGTCCCTCGTGCCAAAATACTAGATACAAGTGCCATAAACATAGAACACATTCAACATTCACAGATTATTCATTTAGCCAGAACATTTTTTCAAACTCACTAACAACACCAACCACATTCTACCTAATAAACAGAATCCATATAATATCAATCCTGAGAAACCAATAGCTCAAATTACAAGAAGTTACTAGCACTAATCCTTTACAAGCTCAAATACCTTCAATATTTTGAAGATGGTCCCAGAAATTAAGGTTTAGACACCCGTCCAGTAAAGGGGAAAAAACAGAAACTGAAATCTCAGAGCAAGGAAACGAATCCCTACAGACCCTACCCCAAACAAAAACACAGATTTAAAAAAAAATAAAAAAAAATCAGACGGTAAATCCTCACCGGACGACGGCAGAGCTCCCGCTAAAAGCGAACAGCAATTCAAAGAAAATCGCTTCCTTCAATTCCCGGCAGAACTAAAACCCTAAGATGGAACATAAATGAAATCGCACTTCAACTCCACTAGACCCTAGAGAGAGAAACCAAGCGCCCGTGCTTGGGGAAGAGAGAGAGAGAGATATTCAATCCATGAGGGGGGATTTGGGAACAGTGGGTATTCGTAATATACAGATCAAGCCATGGCTGTACGTGTATATATATACAGGTTAATCGATGTGTGTTGTTGAATTTCTAATGCAATTAAAAGTGAAACGTGTGTAAATAGGACAAACTCGAGGGGTGAAAGTGTAGAGTATCAAAGTAGTTGTATAAGGTTGGATATGCTTTTACAGTGAATTATTGGTTAAATCTAGGTAAAGCTAGCTCATAAAAGTTAAGTGATAGATGATAATTTATCTTATAATTTATAAGTGGTTTTCGATTTTATAGTTTATAATTTATGAGTGATAGCTGAAAAACTAGTTTACAATAAAAGTATTTGGTAAAATTAATTTCTAATTTAGCTAAAATAAAAATTTCAACATGCTTATTTGAAAAGTTACCCAACAAAACTTATGAGATAAGTTCGAGCTTTTTAAAAAAACTTGTCTTACCAAACAAAACTTATTTAAATACGAGAAGTTTATAAGCTAAACTATTAAGCTATAAACTAACTTATTTAGTTACCAAACACAGTGTTGATATATTTCATTTTTCCACCTTGTGAATAAAATCGTGAAACATAGTTTATCTAACCTATAGCTCCAGACAAAAGAAGATGTGAAGTGGACCCATATAGGCTGTGTTTGGTAGACAAATAAGTTAGCTTATAAGCTCACTGTATTCAAATAAGACTCGTTTGGTAGGATTTTTTAAAAAGCTCGAGCTTATTTGAAAAGCTTCTTTAAGTAGCTTTTCAAATAAGCTAGTTGAATTTTTTATTTCTGCTGGCTTATCAGCTAATTTTACCAAACACTTTTATCATATAAGCTAGTTTTTCAGCTATAAGTCATAAGCTATAAGCTCAAAAATTACTGATAAGCTATAAGCTAGCTTATCAGCTATCAGTTAACTTATCAGCTAGTTTTACCAAACATAACCACAGTACGTAGTACGAAATTGAAGAAGAAAAAAAAAACAAATGTCAACAACTGATATTCAAAGTGATTTATGAGTGAAATTTGCTAAATTTGCTTCTTTTTTTTCCCATCTTGTGAATAAATTGAAACCTCGGGTGAAAACATAACTTATCTACCTAAGTGAATCCATGTAGTACACAGTACAAAATCGAAGAAAAGAAAAAACAAAAATAAATGTCAACAAACCGATATCAAACCGTATAATCTGCATCACTATCGTTTGCCAAATGTAAAACTAATACTGAAGACCTAACCTAGTGAAAATGAAAAAAAAACAAAAAAGATAGTCAAATTAATCCGTATGTACGATTGTGAGTAGGACAAGCGAGGCGGTGACAGACTGACAGTGTAGAATGTGCGTCTCTCGAAATTGTAGTTCTGACTAATATGTCGACTGCGATTTTCCTCACAAAATATTGGAGTGGATGATAGTTGGGAATATATATATATATATATATATATATATATATATAATTTTTCTTACTGAATTTATTGGACAAATTGAGTTAATTTTGATAGAAACTGATTTAATGGAAAATTTTGCGGATTTTGAGTTTGTATAAAAATAATATTTAAAATGTAGTAATTAAAGTTTATGCGATGTAAAAGTGAAATATATGTTATTGGAAATAATCTATATATATTGAAAAAGAGAGGTCAATAAATCATTTGTGGAAACTTTTAAAAAATTGGTCAACAACCCCATTGACTTTCCATTTGTAGAAACTAATTTAAAAATCCTTTCAAAATATATGGTTTTTTTTTCCTGTTTTTTAGGGATGGATATACCTTTAACATGATAAGATATATACATGTGATTGCATATTTTGTTGTTGCATCCCAAAAATCATGGTATTTAAAATCTATCCAAATACAATCCATAATTATCTTATCACTTTTGTTAATAAAAAATTGTATAAAAGGATATTCACTACCACCATTACAACTCATCATTCACGAGTTCAGAGAAAAAAAAAATACAGAGAATAATTTTTCATCGCATA